AATTTTTACCAATGTTTATTGGTTGATTCTTGTGTAATCAAAACCCGCACATTCCGCACATTGAATTTTATACACTGCATGCATGTCATGTCTAAATCTCCATTTTTCCATCTCATTTCATATAACATTATTATTCTACAACTTTTCATGATTCCCCATAAACATTTTACTGATCTTATGCCTTTGAAATATATGAAAAATTTATTGTCTGAACTCTGGGAATGTGGGATGTGACCAGTCTACAATTGTATTCTAGCTTTCTTGACATTTTTCTTCAAGTAAATAGGCATGTACTTGCCTCCAATAAAGTCATTGACCGTGACTTCTTTGTGAAAATTGGAAGGAAGTCCATTAATATATTTGACAGAATCTTTCTCAGAGGTTAATAGTTGAGTAAAGGAAGAAATTCAAAATTGATAATCCTCCGCATAATCAATCAGATAATCTGTATGTTGTATGCATTTAATGGGGCTGTGCAACAAAAATTATATATATGATTACATAAAAATGAAAAAGTTTATAATTTCCTTCGTGATTTATTTTTTTATCACATAACAATTTCTCTTCCTTTCTTCTCAAATAAAAAAATTCATATAATGTTGTCACCAGCATACTTTCAAACAAATAAAACTTGGAGTTACTTGGTTATTTAAAATATAGAGAACGTGAAGATGATTTTACAAGTGATAAATCAACAGAACACATGTCTTATGTTAAAAACCTGAATACCTTAAGGAAAATTCGAAAGAATGTCAACAAGTCGAACAGTGTCTTTGTAATTTGAAGGTAAACATATCAAGTAAAATATCAAAGGAAAATTCGAAAGAATGTCAACAAGTCGAACAGTGTCTTTGTAATTTGAAGGTAAACATATCAAGTAAAATATCATGAGTTAGCACAGAGCTGGCATGTTGACACTTAAATAGCCAGCTGAGTACGCCTTGGTTGGTGATAGTGGGGTACGTCCTTCTTTAAGCATCAAGGTACGTCCTGGTTTCTATGATGCGATTGAACAGGTACGTCCTGTTTGGTTGTAAAGGGTATGTCCCATATCATGGTTACCACATGTTGATTTCTTGGAGCAATTGAATGGGTATGTCCTGTTTGGTTGTAAAGGGTACGTCCCATGCCAAGTTTCTTCCAGCTTTTGGTGATGCCCTGATGACATACATCAAGTTAAACAAAACTATTATAATTTTGTATCAAAGTATGAAAAAACAAGTGAAGATGTAAATTCTTTCTGGTTGTCTATTGATATGAAGAAACAGCTTGATATAAAAAAGGTGAGTGTAGTGTTTTCTATAAACTCTTTATGTTTCAGATTGACTGATTTAGAATATGAAATAGTTGCAGTGCGCAGGAAATGCACTAGATGCGGTCGCCAATGAAACACATTTAAGATCAGTTGTAATGAGTGAAATAATATCTATTATGAAACAGCCACTGGAGCGTAGTGATGATATCTACCACAACAAAATTGGCAATAATGTCATTATTCCAAGGGTTTGTATTAATTTTTCTTAGTATTTAGCATTTTATAGCCAAATTTTTATATACATCATTTATCCACAATACAAATGAAGAATCGAGTTATTTCTACCGACAAAAGAAAAAGAGTAGACCAATCTGATTATGAGGAATCAGCATTATTGTTTGATGAATCTAACGAAGATACAATCATGGAAAATATTCATCTGGAAAATATAAAAAAATTTTACATGTGTCAATTGTAAGTTTAATAATAAAAAAGTGTAAAACTTGCATCGGCACTGTAAGATTTACACAATATTATGTCGGCATCGTAAGATTTATGCAAGTTTACGCTAAATTAATTTCCTGATGTTGATGAAAAAACACTTGAACAGGAAATCAAATTGCCACTAGCAAGTGTTAATAGCTCTTCGAAGGTAAACCTTAATGTTAATAGTTAGGAAGATATATTCAGTAGGCTCATTGTATTGTCATCAATAGGCACCAAAAAATATTATGGGTGTGGATATCATCGAAGCCTTCCACAAATATCAAAACACAATTCCAAAAACCCGTAGAGTTTTCATGTAAGCTTGATATTGTTTTATCATTGTTTTTGGTAATGATCCAATTATTGATACATTTTATACACTTTCCATCCAATAGCCCTGCATACTGGGGAGTTCTAGACTTAACCGGTGAAAGTTTATATGACTGCAAACAGTTCACAGAAAAGGACATAATGCAACAATCACAAGGCTTTGCCGATAATATTTACTGGAAAACAATGCCTCCAGAAAAGAATATACAACAATATTTTGACAGTAATTGTGAGAAAAAGGCAGATGATATTAGAAAACTAGATGTAAACATCCAGTTTATGTATGTATAAGTTTTCTTTGATTATATTTTGTCATCCAGTTATAGTGTTCTGATTCTGGATTGCTGTACAGGAAAAGCAATATGGTTAACTTTCAGGGAATGATGACGGAAGAAGAGCTAAAAATGAGTTCAACATTTCCACTATTTCGTGGGGTGTTTACTTCTGATAAAATTAAAAGTACTTGGTAAGCCATTTATTTGCATTGATTTTTTGGGGGCTGATTCCAAATATTCAGAATTAATAATAACTATTCTGTGTATGTAAGGGGGGAAGTTCAAGCTTTGTCTACAAACTATGCATGTAATGAAACAGGAAATCCATTTAAAAGAGCACGAATAGGCAGATGAGTAGATATGAAAAGTACTTTGGTTAAAACATCTAATAAATTTGAGATTATTTACAGAGAGGTGGCAGGGGTTTGGGACCATTCGGAATTCCCATTGCTTGTTGTAAGAAGAGCTATCTTGATAAGTTAAAGCTGATGATAATTATGCGTGATAGCATCAACTGTTTGCTAAAAGAGTGTAAATACATATCAGATGAGAGACATAAGAATTTAACAATATATGGCTGGCTCCAAATTGGTAAGTCTTGCCTGCGCCATTATACTTAGGCAGGTTTAACTTGCTAATGAATTTCATTTTATGAATAGGTCTAGAACTTAACTTTTATGCCATGGATGGTCAGGAAATGGCATATATAGATTTGGCTTAGTTGATCAATGCAGATTACCATCAGACGAGGATGAATGTGGGATGCTTGAGGATGTGTAAAGACTGGTGCTGTAAATTATGATGATGGTAGTAATTGTATTTACGGCATATAAAAAGTGGTTGCAATTACCTTTGCGACCACTTTTGCAACCATACTTTTTCCTTTTTTGGATTATGGCACTAGTCTTTAAGGATGTGTACTGCATTCTCAAATTACTTGAAGTAAGTATTGTTCTTTGTTAATGTATGTATTGCCACAAATATTTATCTAAGTTGTTGATCAAATAAATGTAGAGTAAATTGCTTGAGACCGAAAAGTTAGTTAAAAGTTTGTTTTTAGAAAACACCAAAGGGAAACAGTGTCAAATTACATCTGAAACTGAGGCAGAGTTGAATATAAACCGTTCTCCTCAAAAACAAAAGCTTAATTAATTAGGAAACATGTGTTGTGAATTTTTTAGGCTTATTCATTTTATTGTAGAAACAATTTTTTTCAAACATAGCTTGTCATTATTTTGTACTACAATCAAAATCAAAAGTATTTCTATGTTAAACGTTCTGTAATGAAATAATACAATAAATGTAAAAGATGTGAAGTCTGAAATTGATTTATTGGGAGGTCAATTGATATATTTGTGCGATTATATGCAGGGATCTCTAAACTTGGATAACTACACATGGTTTAGATCTTTGTTAAAATCATACATATATTTGATTTTTTCCATAGATCAGCATTACTAATACAGTCAAGGAGATTTCCAAATTTGGAATTTCCAAATACTGTAATGATTAACATTCTAGATTCATTGTGTAATTCTAA